TTTTCGTAATCTAACTTTAATTTTTATAAAAGTTGATCATGTCAAGCATCTATTTAAGAGGATCTATTTTATTTTTAAGAAAGAAAAATTTATGTCAAATCCAAATATATAGAATATCTCAATAAAATGTACAAATACCTTCAATTAGATATAAACAAGTAAAATTGAATGATGTGGTCAACTTAGTTAACAAAATCATAAATGCTTGATGTGTTAACAGCAACACTAAAGCATTGCTACCAACAAGAGTTAACATCTAAAAGTTGTATACTACTTTCTGACATGTGTTCTTTAAAATGTGAACAAATCTAGTGTCATTTAGAGTAGTATTATTTAAAAGATTACAACTGCATACAATACTTATGTCCATGCAGAAATGAAGAAAGTAGAATGTATGCTGGTTCACATAATATGAATATAATGTGATATAATACACACACATATTACATATGGATTGAAGACTGGGAAACTCTCACCATTCCAGTGATAATTAGATCTCAACATTGCTTTTTAAAATTTCACCTCTTGAAAGAATTTTTTATTTGAAATGGTTAAATGGATCATTAAGTCCCATAAAGAGCTAAGGAAGAGAGTGAATCTTGAGCCACATGATTGAAAGTCAAAATTCCGAGTTTATTCATTTATCAAATCATATCTTTGGTAGGTTATTTTTAAGCCCCTTCACTTGCAAGGTAGTGCCAGGCTCTTAGAACCGAGGGGTTATGCATTAGAACAGATGGCACTTTCAGTTAGAAATCACCTATTTTTAGTACAGAGTATGTAGTTCATATCTATAGAAATTATATCTATATAATTGTTTAGTCACACCTTTAGTAATAAGTCTATATTTACACGAAGAATCATACAAAATGTTTTTCTAAATCATGCCCCACCCCTTGCTATTAAAATGAGGAATGAAGATCTAGATCCATAGATGAAATTCACAGATGGGATTTTGTATCTGTGATTGGCAGTCTAAATGAGATTCAGTGTCAGACGTGCAGCACCATTGGCAGAGATAAAGCATCAAATGAAAAGTCAGGGGATAATGGCCAGTTGTGCATATCATTATTTTTCTTCTGCTTTCAGGCAGATACACACTGTAGCGGCTGCCACTGCCACTCACTCTAATTACTAGGCCTGGAGTGACACAGCAGGATATTGCTCTGTGAATTGCTAAGCATCCTTCAGGCAAAGACAATAATTACAATATTCTGATTTCAAAATGATAATATTTTGGGCTCAATACTGTGATATAAGAGGATCAGAATACAAAATTAATTTTTAGAACTGCACTATGCCAAATGAAGCATCTTTTTATTGTGCCATTTAGTTACTTCTACCACTTATATGTCATACAGCCAAGTATATGCATATTAATGTACGGTATATTTACATGTGCAGTATGTAATTTTAATGTGTATTGGTGTGCATATGTGTATCAAGAAAAATAACGCTTTTAGACTATCCCCGTTACTATTGACTAATTGTTCTCACTTATTAGATGTAATATCTCTGGGATCGATTTATTTACTTTTTGCATAGGTAAGGGTGAGAGATAATTAAATGACATAAATTTAATATTTACAACGTTTCTACTTTTGCCTAACATAGTGCTAGTATTTTTATGTACTTTATTTTGTTGAATTCTCACAAAAATTGACTAAGTATGTGTAATTATTTATAAAGCATAATCAAGATGACTGAGTTTCAGACTCCTTCCTTATACCATACACAAAAATCAACTCCAGAGGGATTAAAGACTTAAATGTAAAACTCAAAACTGTGAAAACCCTCGAAGACAACCTAGGCAATACCATTCAGGACATAGGCACAGGTGAAGATTTCATGATGAAAATGCCAAAAGCAATTGCAAGGGAAGCAAATATTGACAAATGGGATCTAATTAAACCAAAGAGCTTCTGCACAGCAAAGGAAACTACCAACAGAGTGAACAGACAGCCTACAGAATGGGAAAAAATTTTTGCATGCATCTGACAAAGTTCCAATATCCAGCATCTATGAGGAAATTAAACGATTCACAAGAAAAACACAACCCCATTAAAAAGTGATCAAAGGACATGAACAGACACTTTTCAAAAGAAGACATACATGTGGCAAACAATCATATGAAAAAAAGCTCAACACCACTGATCGTTAGAGAAATGCAAATCAAAACCACAGTAAGATGCCTTCCCACACCAGTCAGAATGGCTATTATTAAAAATTCAAAAATAATAATAACAAATGCTGGCAAGGTTGTGGAGAAACAGGAACACTTATACACTGTTGGTGGGCGTATAAATTAGTTCAACCACATCAAAGACAGTGTGTTGATTCCTCAAAGACCTAAAGACAGAAATACCATCTGACTGAGCAATCCCATTACTGGGTGTATACCCAAAGGAATATAAAGCAGTCTATTATGAAGATACATGCACACATAGGTCCATTTCAACATTATTCACAATAGTGAAGACACGGAATCAACCCAAATGTCCATCAAATGACAGACTGGATAAAGAAAATGTGTTACATATACACCACGGAACACTATATAGCCATTAAAAAAGGAACAAGATCATGTTCTTTGCAGGGACATGAATGGAGCTGGAGGCTATTATCCTTAGCAAACTACCACAGGAACAGAAAACCAAACACTGTGTGATCTCACTTATAAGTGGGAGCTAAATAATGAGAACACATGGGCAAATAGAGGGGAACAACACACACTGACTGGGGCCTATCAGAGGGTGGAGGGTGGAAGGATGGAGAAAATCAGGAAAAATAATGGGTACTAGGCTTAATACCTGGATGATGAAATAATCTCTACAACAAATCCCCATGACACAAGTTTATCTGTGTAACAAACCTGAACATGTATCCCTGAACTTAAAATCAAAATGTTTTTTAAAAAAAAGATCACTGAGTTTCCAGAAGTTAAATAACTCCCTGGAAGTCCAACAGCTAATATAAGATAAAACTGTGATTCTAGGTGGGTTTTCTTTGCCTTCTAAATCTATGATTTTTCAGATACAAATTGTTTAAAGCAGGGGACCCCAACCCCTGGGCCACACAGCAGGAGGTGAGCCAAGGGCAAGTGAGCGTTACTGCCTGAGCTACCCCTCCTGTCAGATCAGTGGCAGTGTTAGATTCTCAGAGGAGCAAACCCTGTTGTGAACTGCTCCTGAGAGGGATCTAGGCTGCCCGCTCCTTATGAGAATCGAACTAACGCCTGATGATCTAAGGTGGAGCAGTTTCATTCCGAAACCATCCCCACCACCAGCCCATTTGTGGAAACAATGTCTTCCACAAAACCGGGTCCCTGGTGCCAAAAAGGTTGGGGATCGCTGATGATCGACCTAGAGTGGAACTAGACATGTAAGAGAATCACGGTTTCCCTAGTAGTGAGATGTTTGCTATAATATGAAGAGGCTAGTTTTGTTTATTCAAAAGATTTGTCAACATTAGGAAACCTATTTGATATATTTTTTGAGCCCTTCCTCTGTTCCCATTTAGTTGTATTAAAATGTAATGCACCAATACTGGCTGTTCAACTGGTTGGCTTAAAATTACCACACTTCTCTGACTTTTCACCTGTTTCAAAAATTTATATCAATGCTAGAATCATTGTCCTTCTCAACCTACAGCATTCATATATAATTTAGAGATCACAAACTCTAATGTTTGTAACTTTCAGAACTATGTGTGAACCATATTGAGTGTGAAATAACAGAGAGTGTGGTGCCTGTTGTAAACTGGAGCCTGCAAGTTCCTTGTGAAAGGATTTAGATCCAGTTACAAACAAACAACATCTTAACCAAACAAAACACTCAGATATGAATTAATTCAACCCAAGGGATCAAGTATACAACACTGCATGAAAATTAAATGTTGATAGATATTTGAGTACCTTAGAAGTTAGTATATTAACATATTATCAGGATCCCGTTAAATACTATTCTATTTCTTTAATTATTCCTTCTGTGAGCACCACTATTTTCAAAGACAGTGAAGGGATGCAGGCTCTGATACTTGTCTTCAGAAATACTCCTTTAAACATAAAAGGTATAACGAAACCATACCTCAAGACCTGTTTCAAGGTCAAATATGGTTATCCCTGTTTTGTAAGTGGGAAAATTAACTCACTGAGGAAACTTAAATGCGCTATAAAAGACTTCTAAGAAATTCAATTACATGCTTTGGAAGTCTAGCACTTCAAAGTTGATATTAGAGATTATAAAGGTTTTAAAGTTCATGAGTTGTTCTTTGGGGAAAAATACTAGAGAAACCATCAAGGTTTTGCAGAGGCACTGCCAGAGTTTCCTAAAGCTCACCCTCAGGTGCGAGAGCCATCGGGGGTGTTGATCTGGCCTTTGTGTCTGTCCAGGCATGTCTTCTTCCCTGCCTCCTCTTCGTTTGCCTTCCTGAAGTTGTGATCTCAGGGGATGAGGTTCCTCTTCCAGAACAGAGGCATAAAGAAGAACCTCTGGGTCAAAGTCGTTGCATGTGGCTCTTTACTCTTTCCTGTAACTTCCATATCCAATCACGATGTCCTGGTGGCCTCTGTGTGTGTGCACTATGCAGAGCTCAGACTGTTTCATGCTTGCTTCAAATGAAAGGCCAAGCTCTGTGGACCACTTTTCCGTCTTCTCTGTCTTTCATTTTGTTTTTGCTATTTCTCCCTGTTCAGCAGCTTCGAGTGAATAGATTGGATTACGAACTGATGCAGACCTATGGGTTGTTGCTAGGACAAAAAAACCCAGGCTTTGTTTAGAAAATGGCATTTGTTCTCCAGCTTTCTCCTGAAAACATAAGAGTCTCTCCTTTTTAAAATTTTTCTTTCCACTCAGAAACCATGGTAAATATTTCAATTCATTGGGTAGAACTTAGTACAGGCTGTCTTAGGTGCAGTCTTTGTTTCAGGGGTTCCTCTGGAAGCTGATAATGAGGAATCCCTGGATGCAACCTCAGCTGCATGTGTTACTGTGTTTTCACAGGAGGCGATCGAGATCGGATGACAGCAAATCATGAGAGCTACCTCCTCATGGCAAGCACCCAGAATGATATGGAAGACTGGGTGAAGTCCATCCGCCGAGTCATATGGGGACCTTTTGGAGGAGGTGAGTGTACTTTAAAATCATGGAAAAACAGAAAGGTAGACCAAACCTGTTCATCCCTTTCCCCCAGTAAATGCTACTATTAGCTCCTATATTCAAGGGGGTGAATGTGAAAATAAATTGTAAATTGTTCAACATTATTTTTAGACAAAAATCCTGCAGGTTTAATTTAGATCATGTATCATTAATGACGAACCTTCTTCTGTGAATATGTTGAATGATAAAAATTTTTTTTTAGTGGGTTTTTTTTAGTTTTGCATTTTCCCATGTTACCAACAATACACAGTTATGGGACTCACACTGTAAAACTAGATTAGTTAAGAACAGCTAGACATGAAGTGAGAAATTTATGACTAGTGGTTCTGGAAGATATCCCAGCCCCCAAATGCTCAATTGTATCAAAGAGGAATGCCACAACTTTTGATAATAATCTGATGATTATTGGAGTAAAAACATGCTTCAGATCAGTTAAGTGTTTGTAAATTTGAAAGTAAGTTTTTAAAAGGTTTGAGTTAACATTGGATTGAGAATGCACCATGTCAAGAATGAGCTAAAAAGATGCTAAAATAGAATTAAACAAAGGAAGAAAAGATTAAAGATGTGATCTTGGTATGCCAAAAAATAGAAAATAGAATCATATAAACAGAAAACTTATCTAATGAAAATGAGCAAATGGACCAAAAAAAAAGCACAAAATTATTTATCTACAACCACAGTATATTTCCAAGAACATAATGCCTAATTTTTATACGGTGATATAGTTAAAAATAAATTGTATTAGGTCAAATTTACACTTTATAAACAATTACAATCCTTATATTTATTTTCCATTCTTGTGTATATTGTCAGCACCCTGAATTGAGACAGTGATTTTTTTATCTCTAAACATATCAGATGTTTCTTAGACTGACTGACCATTTTATATTTTAAAATAACTTCAGAAGTTTAGTTTTAAAAGTTGGTAAGTTAAAGTTAAAATAGTAAAGATTCATTGAAAACATGATATTTTACTAGATTAATGGCACGTGTTTGTAAAGTGTCTATGTTTTAACAGTATCTTCTGTTAGGGAAAGGGAAGGTTCCTAACCAGGATGACCATTCATTCCAATTTCCTTAGTAAGAGCGGTTTACAACTTTTGTCCCAGGCTAATTACTGATCTTGCTACCTTTCACTCCCACGGTGTTCGAGTTTGGATGACAACACATACGGTTACCTTATTCATAACCCAAAATGGCTAGCAAGTGACTATGTAAAATACTTGAAAACACCAGCTGAATCCCCACTCCAGTATCTTAACAGAGGACTCCTCATAGTTATGCAGTAAGGAGTTCCCCTTTATCCATGGTTTCAGTTGCCACTGGTCAACTGCAGTCTGAAAATATTAAATGGAAAATTCCAGAAATAAACAATTCATAAGATTTAAGTCGCACGTTGTTTTTAGTAGCATGATGCAATCTCATGCTGTCCTTCCCAGGATGTGAATCGTCCAATTGTTCAGTACATTCACGCTGCACACACTACCTACTGCCCATTAGTAGCCATCTCAGTGATCAGATCGACTGTCACAGTATCACAGTGCTTGTGTTCAAGAAAACTTTGTTTTACTTAATAACTGACCCGAAGTGCAAGAGTAGCTAATATTGGCAATTTGGATATGCTTGCCTGCCTTCCTTCCTTCCTTCCTTCCTTCCTTCCTTCCTTCCTTCCTTCCTTCCTTCTTTCCTCCTCCTTCCCTTCTTACCTCCCTTCCTTCCTTGTTTATTTTTATATTGGGTTTCTGTTCAATTGTTTTTGAGGCAATTTTTATGAAAGTGTCTAGTCCAGAATCTGAGATCTGAGGAGAGTGATAATTCATTAATAGTGATTTTGTTTTTCGCTTTTTTTTTTTTTTTTTTTTTTTAAGACGAAGTCTCCTTCTGTTGCCCATGCTGGAGTGCAATGGCACAATCTCAGTTCACTGCAACCTCTGCCTCCCTGGTTCCAGTGATTTTCCTGCTTCAGCCTCCCCAGTAGCTGATATTACAGTCGCCTGCCACCACACCCAGCTAATTTTTTTGTATTTTTAGTGGCGATGGGGTTTCACCATGTTGACCAGGCTGGTCTCAACCTCCTGACCTTAGGTGACCCACCCGCCTCAGCCTCCCAGAGTGCTGGGATTACAGGTGTGAGCCATCACGCCCAGCCCAATAGTTCTTGTAGCTCTGATTGCTTAGCTACTGATTGTTAGCTCTGATTGTTAGCTACTACTAAAATCAGATCTTTCCCATATATTTCTGCCTCCTAATGAAAAGAGTTGATTCAGAGACCCAGCAAGGCAATAAGAATACTATTTGTTAATAATCCTTACGATGAACAATTGGCATGTAGGCAAACAGAGGTTAATTAAGAGGTAACGTGTTCTTGCTTAGCCACAGACCAAGTGCACAATCTTGGATGTGTAGTTTTACTTCCCTTACCTTTGGTTTTACTCACTTGTGAAATAAGAAAATTAGAAGAAAAAAATGCTTTCACTTCCCAGCTCCAAAATCCTGTGATTACAGGAGTTGTTTGTAGATCAGTGCTCAGGTCAGTGGATTTTTCTGTTGGCTGAAGTGCTTGAAGGGCAGCACTGTTTCTCTTGGTGGTGCTGAATTACACTTTGTGGTTCTTTATTTTCTTAGCAGTGTGCTGTGACACAGAAGGTAAAATACCATTTGAACAACAGGGCAGAACTAAATAATAATAATCCTTTCAATGACAAAAGATTACCTACATGGTCATGCTAGTCAGAGTAATGATGTTTTTAATGGAAGAACCTTTTTAACACTCCTCATGGTCTTGTAAAGCTTCTGCCGAATGTCTGGGAAGGAACACAGTGGCCTTGGGGGTCAGCTGGGGTTAAGGCACTAACATCCAAATCAGTTCATGGAACAGCCAGGTGGATGAATGATTAACCCAGCAAGTAAATTGTTCAGTGAGTAGGACTGAGAGGCTTGGTGGACATGGGGGCTGGGGTGCAGAAGGTATGTGCAAGAGCATGGACGAATGTTGAAAACAGAATTGGTTTGCAAACTATGCCTGGAGAAATATATATGTGTGTGTAAATACACCCACACAAATATGTGTTGATGTGTTTGCAGCTTTACCCACAGACTCTTTGCCACTGGACTTTAAATACTTTTCTGTTTTAGGGACATACACATACACATGCATAAATACGTTTTCAGGGTATGCATGTTAAATCAGTGCTCACAAATGAATTCACTTACAAATGATTTGGAAAAAAAAGTAAAACTTGTATGGGAAGAGAATAAATGCAGGTATGAAGGGGCAAAAAGTTTACCCCCTGGGGGTTGGTTTGGTGCCCTGTGATTTCTGGAGGGGCTGAGCCAGCCAGCTGTAAAAGTGTTACACAAGACAAGAGCTGGGAAGTCAACACAAAGTCAAAAGAAAAAGAAAGGGGTTCACACCGCAGCGTGGCATTCTCCCTCCTCCCCTCATCCTGTTGTGACTGCACCTGCTGCATGTGACCGGCGGGCACTGGAAGCAGCCGCAGCCACACAGCCTTGGTGAGGAGCCACCACAGCCCTGCCAGCTCCCTCCCAGCTCTCATTGAGAAAAGGGGAGACGGAGCAGGAGGAGGGGGAGGAGACGCTCCCTGCAAAGCTGCCTCCCCCTGCAGATCCAAGGAGCCTCTTGGAATGGGCACTCGACTGTTCTGACGTGGTGATTCCCTCAGGAGTTTGAAGACAGAAAGGAAAGGGGAGAAGCCTGCAGAGAGCATCAAAGGATGAGGGGTGCTATAAAAGGAGCAGGGGAGTCCTTTGAAAGAAATCTATCATGCACTGAAATGCTTTCTGGAGAAGGTGCCATTATTTTCCTCCCCTCTTGCTCAGATGAAAGGAGCCAGCAAGGACAGTCCTGAAATTTTCCTCAGGGGCCTTTTTGTCATTGTTCCTCTTTCCTCTTGCACAGGGCTATTTGCTGACCTTTCCAGAGGAATCTCAGTCCAGCTGAGAAGACAGTTCTTAATAAAAACAAAAAAATACAAAAACCAATTCCTGCTGTTTGAATGAGAATGGTAGCTTGCTTGCTGCAGTTCTTTTCCTGTGACATTTTGGAATGTCTGCAGAAACTTAAAAAAAAAAAAAAACCCTTAAAAACTCCCTGGATTAGGCAAGAGAAAAGGAAATATTTTTGCTAAAAAGGAATAAATGAGAGGTGGTAACTTATCCCTAAGCCAGGACCTGGATGATCAAAACCTTCAAGTTCTAGGAATCAGCACTTCAAAAATAACAAATAAACAAGCATGAGGAGTGACTGTGGGGTTTCGCTCAGAGGCAGGTTTTAAAGGAAGCCAAAACCGGGTTCAGAACTTCGGGCCTGTATGATGCCTGAAGACCGGAATTCTGGGGGGCGCCCCGCTGGTGCCTTAGCCTCAACTCCTTTCATCCCTAAAACTACGTACAGAAGAATCAAACGGTGTTTTAGTTTTCGGAAAGGTAGGTAGATGATATGATCATGTCCTTTTTATAAATACAAATAATATTCATATTCTCTTAAGTTTTAAGGTCTGTTTATGCTCAGATAAAATGGGAGTTTGGAAACCAAGAGCTTAGGACTGTACAAGAGTGATTTGTGTGTGTGTCCTTGCTTGTCTATACTTATTTTCTGAGGTTCATTTAAATCTGTGTATTATTGTCTGTGAATAGGTGGGGTAGGTGGGGCTTAAAGAATAGTGATCCTATGGGGATCACCTTGACTGACAGGGTCCTAAGCAAGCTGGGCTGACCGTCCTCAGAGGAGGGACCAGAGTGATCTTGGGCCCTTCCTACACCCGAATCAAGCAACCACGTTCTGACCCCTCAAAACAGAGCCCTCGCAAATCCCTGTGCTGTGTTCCCGTCACCTTGGTTTTGATTCTGGCTGCCTGTACTTGCCTCACCTCCCCTGTTGAGAAAAATTTGATAATAGAATTATCTGGTTTTGATTCTGGCTGCCTGTGCTTGCCTCACCTCCTCTG